TTTCATCATTTTCATCTTATTGTCATTGAATATATAGTAAAGTTCTGCCGGCGAATGTTTTTCCTTGCGTCATAGTTTATCATGTTTTTCTAACCCAATGACGTATAAATTCAGAACCTGAGAGGCTATAAGGCAAGGTGAGAACTACATAGGTAATTGACCTTATAGTTTGAGATAAGGGTGGTTATTTCCCACTTTGGCTGACTGTTTTGTAGATTCTATAGATACCTACTTTTAAATGGAGGTGGTACTTGATTTTTCTTGTGAATTTATTGTGTGATGCTTTGAGTCTTTTCTTCTTGTCTAGCCCATTACATCCTTAGAGATCAATTCAACTAACAATTCTCCGCCATTTTATGCCATTAATCTGGCAGTTCCTTATCGCCAATTGATGAGATGAGATGGATTTTTTTTTTAAAATTAATGTATTCATTGCACAATAATCATCTAATTTTGTCCTGCAGCTTCCAAACACAGGCAAAACGGTCCACTGTATGCCGCGCCACGTCGGCCATCGATCCCGTTGCACCCGGGTTGCGCGCTCCCCTTCCCTCCAGCAGGATCCCCCAGCCCAGCTGCAGCCCTCCCCCCGATTTCCATCCCCATTTGCTGCTGGTGGCTGCTAACTAGGAAACCCCTTCCGTATTCGCGTTTTTGATTCTGAATTCTATTAATTTTGTTCTCTAACTACACACCCGGAAAGTAAAAAATAACACAAAAAAACAAATCATCTATTTGTTTTTTTTTGTTACTAATCCTTGAACAATTTCAGGAAGGTATAATACATGGATTATCTCCCAAAATAAAAAATGATTACAATCTACTGCCGTCATTAGAACCTACAACAAAAAGCATTATTCTCTTCTCAGTGGGGCTTTTATAGGAAAACCATTGTGATCCAGGCAGAATCGATGTCATCAACCTGTTTTCCAGAGAACGCTCCCCCATACATAAAACTTCGTCTGGATTTTGATTCAAAGCGCATTAATTTTGAAGGGGAAAATGCCAAAGAATCGAAACATAAAGCGCTTTTTGACGCTGAATAAATATAATATTAAACTTTGCTGACATGTAACGCTAATATCAAATTTGTTTTGGGTAAAACTTTCAGGAAATTCAATTTCTTGCAGCAGAATTTATCAAATAATTATTATAAGTAACTTAATCCAGAAAAGCTAAAATTATTCATTTCGCCCCCCTTCTCACAGTTTACGCTACAAAAGCTCGGGGAGAGTTTATTTTACGATTTTCCCTAGTTATGAAAGTTCTTAACCTGCACCAGACGACGCTTCAGCGACCCTTCCCCCCTTGTTTCCTTTATTTCTCCCTTTATCCAAGGGGCTTTGATTTGGTGCCATTTATTCAGCGAAGCGCTGGCTGGATCGAGGAGAAATAATTTTGTTTTAACAAGTTTTGGAGTTTTATTGGAAGCGACCAAATTTTAGTTAATAAGTCACACCATGAACAAGAAACAGTATGTTCCTTTAGAATATAAATTAGGAAATAAAGACATAAAATGGAGTTCGGATAATGGTTTACCTATTAAGAATATTTTACTCAATTGCAAAGATAATTATCACACTCACAAAAATGTGTATTTATTTATTGATATTCTACGTTTAATCATTATGTTCCTATAATTTCTATGTCAATATTTGTTTTTGCAATTCCACAAAGATAATTTATGCAAGATTTAGTAAAACTATCCCAGAACGTAATTCCATTATTCCGCATGAGACTGGAAACTGCACTGCGGGAAGGTAACGAGCATTTCAGGGCTGCAGGAAGGTTAGTAACCTGTCCGCCGGGGTGTGTCTCTCCCCTAAATACGTCACGAATTACGAGCACCACGCCAGAAGTTTCCCATTATTATTGAGTTTTCAACCCAGGATATTTAAATGCAGCCAGTTATTATTAAAAAGACCAAATGAAAGGAAGTTTCATTAACTCTCGTATACCTACATGGAGAGGGCACCCCCTATTCATCTGGAATTAAAATCGTGACCACGACATTCGTTTCCTTTGCAAAACAAAGGGAGATTAATCGGCTCGGAAGGAAAAACGTGGCCATTGGAATCCAACTTCCTGAATAAATATAAATAAAAAACTTTCCCCTGAATTTTAAAATAATAAACACTTTAGTAAATGGCTTCCGATGAATGTAAAATCGAAATAATTGGTTTGGAAATTAAGTACCCTTAGTAACAATAAGTAATCCTCTAATATGCAAATCAGCTTCAACAATTTCCAAAGAAGGATTATCTAGCTCTACAGATTTAACTTTAGTGTAGGCAGGTTTATGCAAGTGAGATAGAAAAAATTAGTTACAAAGTGATCTCTGCGGAAATGAGTAGTCAATAGGGTCCTAAATAATCCCTCAAAAATCGCACTTTGTCGCAATGGTGGAACTTGGAAAAAAATGGCCGCCATCTTGATTTTTTTTCGAATTTATTAAATATTTCGTAAAGTATGCATTATATCAAGAAAACTCAAGAGAACTTTTTTGTGGAGAATAAAAAGCTACTTATAAAAAAATTTCAATACTATTAGCTGGAAAACAAAAAAGTAATTGGAATTTAATTTATTTAAAAATATGGAAATTTTTGAACTTTAGGTAAAATCGCGAAATGTATGGATTTTTCTAATAAATTTTAAGAATGCCAGTTAATAGAGGATTAAAGATACCTATATTGAGATAAAAAAAAAACATCAGTAATTATCGAAAAGTTTGGTGTCAAAGGTTTAAAACATGGTCTCAAGTTTCCAGTCTTCCTCTTCCACTACTGGGAAGGTTTAGTGATTTTTTTATAAACCTTAGAATTTAATTTATTTAAATTACTTAGTGTCTATCCAGACAGTACACAGACATCTCTAAGACGTCCCTAAGATATCTACAAACGACATTCAGGACGTCTTTTAGACGTCTGCTTACGTCTTCAAGGAGTCTTAAAGACATCTTAAATACGTCGTATGTTACAAAACCCAACGTCTTTCAGAAGTCTGCCTGAAGACGTCTTCAGAACTGATATTTTATTATTATTACTCATTTTATAACTTTCAATTTTCATGTGTTCCAAACGCTAGGGTCTTAAATTCTTGATTTCTTTAAACGATGAAAACATACGAAAAATTTATTTTGGAAGAAAACAATTTGAAGAGACTGAAAATTAAAAAACAAATCAAGAGCCTGAAATTCTAAAATACAGGAATAATGAGAATTCAAGAATATGGAAAAAAAATTCAACAGCCAAAAGAAAATTAAGAATTTAGAATAAAGAAGTAGGGAAAAATCAAGAGCCTGGAAAAGAAAAAATTATAAAAATTCAAGAATTTGAATTGAAAGAGGAATATTTTCTTGTTAATATTTCATTATTATTTATTACTCATTTTATAACTTTCAATTTTTATCTATTCCAGGCGTTAGGCGAAATAATTCTGATGTTTGTCTAAAGTGTTCCAACTTGGCTTGAAGAGTTCTGGAGCATTCTAGAAGTTTTTCAGTTATTTCTACATTGGGAAGTCCGCTTCTTTGAAGGATCCATGTTAAATTTCAAAATGTTTTGACAGATTTTTAAGTATTTTAGAGTCCTATCGAAGTTCCAAACAAAGTGAAGTTGAATTGGATTAAATGCATTCTAAAAGGTTTCCAGTTCTAAATTGAATCGTTATTGTTCTAAAATATCTCTGAAGTTTCTAAATTTTTCCAAAATGCTCCATTCTAATAATGGTTCTGAAGTTTTCAAAATGTTCTGAAGCGCTACAGAATGGTGTTGAAAATTATGGATTGAATTTTAAGTGTTTTGAACTTTCGAAAAAGCTTATTATTGAAGTTCTAAAGTGTTCTGTAGCATTCTAAATGGTTCCAAGTAACTTCTAAAGTTGAATGAAAAACGAATTCTGTGAGAAATCTTTAAGGCGTCCTAAAGACGTCGTATGTAATAAAACCCAACGCCTTTCAGACGTCTGTCTATAAAGACGCCTTTAGAACTGAGGCATTCTAAAGACGTCTTCAACGAAATTTCTAAAATAAGTCTTTAAATCTCTTTTCAATACATGAACCATTATTCACTTTTAGGCTTGGCTGTACGAAATAGTGTGGCTCAGTTCAGTTGTCGTTGAGGTGGGAATTTAGGACATCTTTTTTTTGGAGTTTTTAGACGTTTTTTTTTGTCTTCAGACGGTCAGATGTAATGCAAAATGCAGACTTAAAAAAGACGTCTTTAAGACTTTGTGTGATGTCTGAGTCTGATGGGCAGTTTCCTGCCCAAATGTTTTTCTTGTCATATGTGTTTTTGCTCCCTCTCAACAAAAATATTTAGACTATTAAATTTATTGAATTTTTCTTCCATTAAATGTAGTTTTTCATTCCGCACCAAAAAAAAATACTTATTTGAGTTTTTTTCAGATGTTTTGAAAAATTTCATGTTGCCAAATGAAATAAATGTCAATAACTTTTTCGTTTTCAGCTAATATGGTCTTGAAGAGAATAAGTAGCTTTCGATTCTCCACAAAAAAGTTCTCTTGAGTTTTTTTGATATAATGCATATTTTACGAAATATTCAATAAATTCCAAAAAAAATCAAGATGGCGGCCATTTTTTTTCCAAGTTCCACCAATGCGACAAAGTGCGATTTTCGAGGGATTAATAAGGACCCTATTGACTACTCATTTCCGTAGAGATCACTTTGTTACTAATTTTTTCTACCCCAACCACCTATTTTGACTAGCCTACTTCTCTAAAATAAATTTTTGCTTTAATTAATCTCAATTATAACATGCAACTCTCATGTCACTGCCTTGAAACACTAAAGAAAAATATCCTTAATAGTAGATACAAGAAAACAGGCTCAAGAAAAATCTAGAGCAAATATATGGTGCAGTTTGCTCGGCGTGTACGAGACAGGAAATAAGAAAACAAACTTTTCCGGATTTCGGAAAGGAATTTAAAGTGGAAAATGATTTGTATGCCCCAAGGGTATGGCAAAAATAAAGTGAGAAATGGAATTTGCTAAGTAAAATCTAAAAATATATATTTATTCAGTCAGTACAATGTCTTATAGTTCGTGCTTTTTGATTACAGCTAAAACATCTTCGACGTCCTCTTTTGAGCCCAAAAATATCGGACTTCTTTGATGAAGTCCTGTAGGTTGCACTTGGAGAATTGGGATTTTTCCATTTGTAGCCAAACCGCCTGCAGTTTCGATTATGTGGGCCATTGGAATGCATTCGTAAAGCAGACGAAGCTAAAAAATATCAATTATTATTAACCAATGAGTTACTTATTTAGGACTAAATATATGGTGAAAACGCATTAGCTATAGATAGATACGTACTTTTCCGTTAGGAGATGATTTGGTGGCTGGGTAGATGAAGATTCCACCATATTTGATGGTTCTGTGGACGTCAGCCACCATAGAACCAACGTATCTTGCATTGTAAGGTTTGCCTTTAGCAGGGTCTTTTTTGTTGTCGACATATTCTTTGACGGCAGCGTCCCATTCGTGGGTGTAGCCTTCGTTTATGGCATAGATTTTACCTCTAAAATCATAAAAATATGTAAACTTAGTTCAGACTTTCGAAAATAGAAAATTGGAGCCTATAAGTTGATTCTTGAACTACATATTTTCACTCAATTCAACTTCTTCAAAGAAATTGAGCTTTGAACCAGCTTGAAGTATCCAAAATTGATGATTCTAGTTCGCGAATTTAAACTTTCGTAACTTAAAAATGGAAGCCCTTGCCATAAATAGATTTTTAGCCCATAAGCTGAGGAATTTTTTTTCAGCTCAACTAAATTTTTCCAAAGAAATTTAGGTTTGATATTCACAACTTTGTTGATTTTGGCGTATTAAGGGGCAAATTAAAATCAATTAAATCTTCTACTTTAGTAATTTTATTAGAGCTCCAAGAGTTTTTCAGCTGCAAAGCTCAAAAACGATAATTTAGCCCAAAATCTATGAACCCTTTTTCAACTCAATTAGGCAATCCAACGACCTGCCCAAATGGCGTCTGGTTGGCAAACAATAAACAAAAAACATATGTTTTTTTTTTGGCAGGATTAAGCCTAGTACTTATAACAGCGAAATTTGCTCTTTTTTGATATTGCTTCGACAATTTGATGTTTTATGCGTGAATCATACGTCAAATTGTCGAAGCAATTTCAAAAAAGAGCGAATTTCGCGGTTATGAGTACTAGGCTTTATCAATATACGGGGCGAGTACTCAAATCTGACACTTTTCTGACATCGTTGACATGTAACAGCCCGTATTATTCTAACCTCATAAAAATTTCAAAATGCCGGCTGGTTGGCAGAAGTCACGTGGTTTGGATTCCCTAATTTTCTATCAAAAAACTGAGTTTTGATTGGCTATCAAAAATTTGATATTCGACTGAGTTACTTTCAGACATTTGAGAATGAAAAATAGAAGCTGAGAAGCTCTTGTCATAAAATGAACCAAATAGGAAAACGAGATTCTACTCAGAAACTGAGTTATGAACTATTTCTCCAAATAAACTGAGCTCTGAGCTAGCCTTATTTAATTTTCTCTTGAGCAACTGGGTTTTGATAGGCTATCAGTAATTCGATATTCAACTGAGCTACTTCAGACATTTGATAATGAAAAAAAGAAGCTGAGAAGCTCTTGTCATAAAATGAACTAAATAGGAAAACGAGGTTCTACTCAGAAACTGAGCTATGAACTATTTTTCCAAATAAACTGGGCTCTGAGCTAGCTTTACTTTACAAATCAGCTTAATTTTCTTTTAAGCAACTGGATTTTGATTGGCTATCAAAAATTCTATATTCAACTGAGCTACTTCAGACATTTGAGAATGAAAAATAGAAGATGAGAAGCTCTCGTCATAAAATGAACTAACTCGGAAAACGAGATTCCACTCAGAAAGTGAGCTATAGATTTTTTATGTTACATTTAGCATGACGTCATAGAACAAGGCCATCAGACATTGTTGTCAATGCCTATTTTTTTTTCTTATCATTTACTAGAATGTCATAATAAATTATCAAGACCCCTGACAGCTAAAAATAACGAAATGAATCGATACGCGTTATTTGAAAATGTTTATATAAATCATGCAACGTCGCACACGCCGTTGCCAACCAAAAACATATGAAATTCCCCTACTATAAATGCTTTCAAAAGTACTTTTAGTTTTGTTAGGTTGGCCGCAGAAATTTACTAAATGTGACGTCATCCTAAATATAGTATAGTAAAACTTTCAAATCAACTCAATTTTTTGGGTTTTGATTGGCTATCAAAAATTCGGGATTTCACTGAGCGACTTTGAATTTTTGGGAATGAAAAAATAGAAGCTACAAAATAAACTAAACCAGGAAACGATATTGGAAACTGACGTAGGTATGACCTCGACTCAGGGCGAGTTTGGGTTGACGCTCGGCGGAGGGAACAGAGCGATTACGGAGTAACGTGACGTCACAGGGAGTAAACCGTATCAAGCCAAACCTAAGAGCCAAACAAACTTGTGCAAAAATGCTGAGTTGAGCGATCAGCTGATTATTGTTTGGCTGCCGAAGTTGCCTTGGAAAAATATGTTTAATAATTACCAGTGATGAGGACTATCGAGAAAAGTTAATTAAAAGTAAACAATTATGCAGAATTTACTAGCTATTTGATTGTTAACATTCAAACAAAATAGCTAAAACTATTCACCTAACAAGTATGTTAAAATTCAGCCCCCGGATTCTATTTTACGAGTCGACTCGAATTGTCTCGATATCGAATACGACACCTCCGGACTTAAGCTGGATTGTTTATTTATTTATCTTATCATGGAAAATAGGTTAGGTTATACAGACAGATTAAACTGCGCATTTACGCTCCAGCTGCCCATCCCGCAAACTCGGAGTTTATCGAGCTCGCTCTGAGCGCTCAAAATATGTCAAACCCATTGGTCAAACCAAACACAATCAAAGGCGATTTTTAGCCTGGAATGATTATTATTTGGTTATAACCAATGCATTTCCGCCGTCGCGGTTTTAACCAAAGTAGGGGAAGTTGTGACGTCACATATCAGCTGATTTGCTTTTGGTATTACCACTTATAACCGATTATAACCCAGCTTTTTCCATCTTTTGGTTACAGCTTTTTGATGTTATTGTTATTATTTTTGAAATTTGTATTGGTGTTTTGTGATTTTGCAGTTGCGTTGTAGCCTGGCACAATGAAAGAAGTATACATTCACTCACTCACTGCAATTCACCATGTTTAGATCGAGGTTTAGATCATCCCCAAAGAAAATCTGTTCGATAAACGAGACTAACGAGAGATTCAGCTCCATTTTTTGTACCTAAACAAAAAACTATTGTTGAAACGAAAAAACAAATAAGAATAATAAACATAATCCTACACTGCTATAACCAAATCATTTCAGCGGTCAGTTCATCCTTGGGTTATGATTCTTGAATGGTGGGGGGCTATGACGTCACACTTGGCTGTCAAAGTTGTCAACCAAAAGAATAACCACGGTATTTACCGATAAATAATCATTCCAGGCTGAAAATCGCCTCAAGCGTTGTCGGAGCTTCAAAAATAACGGAAGAGAGACAAAAGTGCAAGCTCTGAGTGCACCGAGCGTGAACCCAAACGCGCCGTCAATTTTTCCAAATAAATTAAGCTCTGATTACATTATTAGCTCAATTTTTTGTAGGTATAGAAAAGCAATGTTTAGCACAAAAGCTGAGTTTTAAACTCTTTTTCAGCTCATATGAACTCAATTTTATTGAAGAAATTAAGATTTAACTTAGCTACTAACCTGCTTGGTATCCTCATATCCTTATCAGTCAAAATAAATTCACCAAAACTAGGATCCAACATAAACCCATTCACGCTATTCCCCAAAGCTAGAACCATCATGGTTGCGCTACCGTATAAAGCGTAACCGGAAGCAACCACTTTGGTACCGGGTTGAAGAGCGTCTTTTATGTTTGGAATGCTGTTGTCCTCTTTTTTCATTATGGCAAAAATCGAGCCGATCGAAACGAGACAGTCTATGTTTGAGGAACCATCCAGAGGATCAAAGGCGACAATATATTTGCCCCTTTGTTCAGTTTCAACCTATAGATGTTTTATTAATATGTTTGAGTTTTCTTTAAATATAATTTTTACCTCTATGACTGTTTCATTTTCTTCTGAAATTAATAGAGCAACCGTGTAGGAGGATTTCAGCATGTTAATGAACAAATCGTTTGCCAGGACATCGAGTTTTTTAACTTCTTCGCCTTGTACATTGGTTTCACCAGCAATACCAAATCTAAAAACATTGCAATACTAAAATCAAGTGATTAATGGTTGATAAGATTAATTTCAAATCTTATTCTCTGTAACAACAACAATTTCTATACTTTTCAGTATATTTGTTATCTCATTTAGGTGAATTAAAGAAAATTTGAAAGTCTTAAATTACTACTAAGTATAGGTAGGTATATTTACAATTTTGTTATTCCAGCTCTCCTCACAGCACTACTGATAACCTTAACAGCGGTTTGAATAGAATTCAATAGCTGAGTCAGTTCGCCGGTGGCATTGGGGACTTTGGATTGTTCGGACAATACAAACCGGGTCAAAGTTACGGCGTTAGAGTCAAAGCCGTGTTTGCTCATTTTGCTTCAATCCTTAGCTGATTATTAGACCACGTAACGTAACTACCGACCGCGATCTCTACTCAAAACTGAAAATTCTCACGGCACGGTCGGGAATATAAAACCAAAAATAGGTTGAACTTTGGAACTGTTTTGGAATTACTATATAATCGTTATTGGTTTGACATTTGGTTTAATATTGCGATAACGCGGTGAAATGATAAAATGTATTTGTTGTTAACACACCGATAGGTATTGTTGTTATAAGCAATATACGGCGTTTGCGTTTCTCCTGCCAAGGTGTTTTGAAGTGAGAGTTGCCTAACTAGTTGATTTAAAAATAGCTTTTAATTGGTTTTAAACGAGAACGCAGAATGTTTATCTATAGGTACCTAATTATTCATTAGTGGACAAAAAAACTAATTATTTGAATTAATATAAAAGTTTTTTTCCGCATATTATCATTGACTAAATATTTTATGTTTACCTACTTAGGTATATGAACCTGGTAAATATTTGTGTTGTTGCAATAATTATTGATGTAGAACCTTTGATATCTCTTGTATAACCAATTCTTTTTCAATGAGAACCTATTGGAAATTGGTAGTTAGGTAAATCATCTCTAGCTTATTCAGAGCTCTACTAGGTATTTAGCTCCGACCTCAATTAACAATAACGAAGATCTGGAAGTTTTCCTCAAAGAGCCATCAACAGCCATAAACAATAAGGCAGCTCAAAAAATAATTTAGCTGTTTCCAGACTTTTCTTCCACTGTGTATATCATACGTTATGATGAAGGAGAGTTTCCTATTATTGCCCTCTCGCTATATCGCCCTTGCTTCTTCTTCTCTCTCAAGCGTTTGTCGTTTCAAAGAGTCTCAGCTCAGGAAGTTGAACCACAGGCAGCGCCGGTTCAAGGCTCTACCGGGCCCTAGGCGGCAGTAGGTATGGGGCCTTAGCCCAAAGTAACTTTTTACTGTTTTTGTCCAAATTGAAAAAAAAAAGCCTTTCAAAATGCTGTTGGAAAGTGTTTTGGAACGTTATAAATCGCTTTTTGAAGTTCTAAGGTGTTCTAACTTGGCTTGAAGAGTTCTGGAGCATTCTAGAAGTCTTTAAGTAATTTCTAAATGGTTCTGACAGATTTTTAAGTATTTTAGAGCCCTATTGAAGTTCCAAAGAGTTCTAAATTGGTTCAAAAAAGTTCTAAAAGGTTTCCAGTTCTAAATTAGGATTCAATTTAGAACTTTGAAATTGTTCTAAAATAACTGAAGTTTCTCGATTGCTCCAAAATGCTCCTGAAAATTCTGATTTGGATTTGAACTGTTTTAAATGCCTTTAAGAGTTCTAAAGTTCTACAGCAATCTAAATTTGCTCTTAAAAGCCTTCTGAAAGGCATTTTGTAACGTTTAATCTGAATCCTAAGATTCTGGCGCTGGCGCTTTTCAAAATGTTTCTGGGGATTCTATAGAGTGTCTGAGTTTGACTGTTTTGGAGCGTCCTAAAATGAGTTTCAAACTTCTGAGTTGTTCATAAATGCTTTTGGAAATCGGTGGGGTATTCTAAAATGGTTCTGAAATTTCCAAAATTTTCTGAAGCGCTACAGAATGCTTTTGAAAATTCTGAATTTAATTTTAAATGTTTTGAACTTTCCAAAATGCCTATTAAAGTTCTAAAGTGTTCTGTAGCATTTTAAATGGTTTCCAGTAACTTCTTATTTAAATGAGAAACTAATTCTGTGGGAAATTTTTCCTAAAGACGTCCTTAAGATGTCCATAAACGACATTCAAGACGTCTTGCCTACGTCTTTAAAGCATCTCAAAGACATCTTGAAGATGCCGTAATGTAACAAAACCCAACGTTTTCTAGAGATCTGCCTAAAGATGTCTTTAGCACTAAGACATTTCAAAGACTTCTTCAACGAGCTGTCTCAAAGATGTTTTTGAATCTCTTTTCAATACGACAATACATAAATCATTATTCACTTTTAGGCTTGTTTGTACCAAATAGTTGTCTAAGATATGAATTTACGACATCCTATATGGATACTTATATGGACATTTTAAAAACAACGTCTTCTAGGCGTCTTTTTTTTTTGGTCTTCAGACGTTTAGACGTAATGCAGACCCTAGAAAAGACGTTTTCAGGACTTTGTGTGCTGTTTGGGTAGATGTTCATCAGCAACATGACATAAAGGTTGGGTGGACTCTATCTGAGTTGGGAATCCCACAGCTACAGTACAGTGTTGCCGATAGTGTGCTTAATTCGGGTGATGTGGTGCGTCTCAGGGCGCAAGGTTGCTAAAAAAAGGTATTTGATTTGAGAGTGAATTCCGGGTCCCATTGACCGTCCGGGCCCTAGGCGGCCGCCTAATCCGCCTAGTGGTAAAACCGGCGCTGACCACAGGTTGAACTCCAAACACAATAAAAAACTGATATTTCATGACACTAATCCGCGTACATATGTGAACCTGGCCTAAGTTCGATTCTCACGGGAATTTGGAACTCGCTCCTGAAAAAAAAAATCCAAATAGTACAAAAATTGTTGCCATGTGTTTCGAGGCTGTTTGTTGAAACAACTGCCACAATGCTACAATGACAAATATTAAAAATTTCTTCTGTAAAATTTCTGAACCCCAATTTAGTCACTTTTTTCGTGAAAATTCTATTTTCGATATGCCCAAGCGCCGTTCCGGCGTGAGTAACAATGTCCAGGAACAAAAAAGCTGCCCGGATGAGAATCCAAAACGTGAGCAGAACAATAACCGTGGTGTTGTCAAAAGCGAACCGTCGAAAATGATACGAATAGGAAGAGTCACAAGGAATCCGTTCTTAAACTTTTTGAGGGAAGTGCGAAAGAAATGCTCAGGTATGGGCGTGCTCGAAATTTCGGTAAAAGCTGGCGAATTGTGGCGGAAAATGTCCAGAAATGAAAAAGAGCCTTTCCTGCAAATGGCCAGACAAGCGCCGAGACGAAGACGTAGACGTAGAAGACGTCATCGTATGCATCGTTACGAAACAGACGACGAAGGATCCGGATCGTCTACTGAGTGCTTCACCAAGCCCAGACGACGTACACGAAAAAGCCGATCGAGAAGCATCCATAAGAAATCCAGATCGAAAAGCCGCGTTAAGAAAATCAGATCTAAATCATGCAAGAAATACTAACTTTGCATATCATATCAAAATTTTCATAGTAAAAATTATTTGGTGTAGGTATACATTTTATGTACATAAAATTTATTTGACACAAAACGAAATGCTTTTTATTCAAATTCAACATATTATGACATGGAAGGCATACTGCAGTATTTAGTTTTTTCTTGAAGAGTTTTCTGAAAGCTGATATTTTCAAAATAGGTCGTACTTTAGTGATGGAAAGCTAGTGTACAGTCAGCACTCACAGTTCCGGGACAGCTGGCGCTGGGATTGTAATTTTAAGAAGCATCTGAACTGTTTTATCAAAGCTCAAAATTTATAGAAATGTTGCACATTATCTGTTTGAAGGTCACAGATAACGTATTTAAATCGTCAGACGTCTAGGTCACTGCGAAAAGGGTGTCAGACGCCCACAAAGTGATGGATGCTGTGGTGATGGCATTTTCTTCGGTGTCCTTTCAAATATATTTGTCAAACGCACACCTGTCACCTGCAAATAGTATATTTCCTAACAAGTGCGGAAAGTGCCACTTTTCCGCACGCGATTGCAGTTTGCCGAACGACGCGTAGCGGAGTTCGGCAAGCAATCAAGTGAGGAAAAGAGACTTTCCGCACGAGTTAGGAACACTATTTTTTCTACGAATGTAATGTAAATTTTAACACCAATATTTGATATTTCTTCTGCAACACCTGGTATTAAAAACAAATCGAGTAATTTTTTCTTAATATAAATTAGGTACCTACTCTTAGAAATAAATCTTATTTATTTATTGATTAAAAAAAAACTAATTCTGAAATAATGTGCGTTATTCTGAATACAATAAAATCGAGAACTTTTAACAATAATTTGTACGTTTAATGTATCTACTATGAAATTTTCGAAATTTTCAGGCATAAAGTAACCATTCTATAGTAACTTCACAAGAAAAGTTAAGTTTAAACCAAAATAATTTAATAAATAACCTTATTGTTTCAATAATTCTCAATGCTGATATTTGTTTAAGTGTGTCAGCTCAGAATTTAAAAAGTGACATCTGTCACTTTTCCGCACTAGTGCGGAAAAAACTTTTTTCCGCACTAGTGCGGAAAAGTGAAACTTTCCAAACTAAAATGCGTGCGGAAAGTGCACTTTTCCGCACGCTCGTAGAAAAAATATATTTTGAAAGAAGAAAATGCCATAAAATAAAAACTTTCAAGGCTGACACCCTTTTTGCAGCGACCTAGACGTCTGACGATTTACATACGTTATCTGTGACCTTCAAACAGATAATGTGCAAAATTTCTATAAATTTTGAGCTTTGGGAAAACAGAGAGATGCTTCTTAAAATTACAACTTTGCGCGCGTCCCAGCGTTAGCTGTCCCGGAACCGTAAGTGGTGGACTGTACACAGGTATTCTATCACTAAAGTACGACCAATTTTGAAAATATTAGCCTTCAGAAAACTCTTGCATATTTTCGACGCCACCTCCCAGACTAATATGACTGTTCTATTTTATTCAAAATTGACAATACCAATGACAGAGATAAATACATAGACTGTCGAGAATGGAATCTCAGTGTAAATTTTTTTGTCAACAAAATGGAGCCAAGCCAGCGCCATCTACCATATCGGAAAATCACTATTTACTGGTTTTGCATCGATGCTACAGACACCTACTTTACATAGGACTTTGTATGATAGATGGCGCCCTGTTCGCATTACTGTCGGTCTGATCAAATTCGTTTATTCTTGACTTTGGGACATTATTGTTTGCTTAAATTAATTGATTATTTGTTAATTAGATCAAAAGACAGTTTCTTTATCGATGATTAAGGGTATCCTCAACATATTTATTCAAAGTTCTGTTTGATGTTTAATTGAACCTGTCATTTATCTTATCAACAAAGATAAAAATAGATCTTCCCATCTATAAAGTTTGAAGTTCTTCCGGCGAACAAAAAACATTAGGAATTATTAGTTATGATAATGAATATTTTGGCATATTGTCATATGTTGACATGTCAGTTATCGACATCGGACGTGTTCTTGATGTGTTGGTATTTTACAATGTTGACAATTCTGTGGTTGTCAGCGACATCTAGAAAAACGGAAAAGAGTTAATTATGTGGTTTATAACTGGCAATGAGAGATCGCAGGGCCTGACCAATGACCTGTGCCAATGACAATACCATTCGCTTGTCATTACCTTTCTATCATTAAAGGTAAGATCACCTTAAACATGCCAATAGATACCAGATTTCAACACTCCAAGAATCAAATAAACAATAATGAACAAACCCAGTAGACCACACAGAATACTCCATCCTCGGAATAAGGAAGGTCACCGCCCAATCCAGCTTCGGAAGATCCAGTCGATCGCTCTGAAGATCTGGAAAAAAAGGTGACCGAGCTCATGGCTCTAGTGGATGTAGATGATACTCCACCGACCACCGGAGACAGGGGCTGGACCATCCACAGCCTAGAAATAGGTCCCATCATTATCCCATACAATGGATAAAGAGACTTTATTTCTTCAAAGTAACTTGCAGCATAGCAAAGGGAAGACTCTTTAAAAAATGCTGCAGAAAGTTTTGGCATAGAGAACACTAATGTCAAATGGATCTGTGTCATGTTGGAAAGCAGAATCCTTACAAGCTCGATTGGTAGTGAAGCTGGTAGTGCGATGTCAAGATACGTTTGACCATCATGTTGTATGTCCAATACACCATGTCCGGTCTTAAGCCCCATAATTTTCCATGCAAGCGTCTAACTATCATGAGTGATTTACCGTTTTTTTGGTGGTGTTTTCTAAGGTGTTTTCCATATGTTGATTCCAGGTAAGTTTTGAGTCCAGTGTTACCCCCAAGTAGGTACTTGACCTCGCTCGAAATCTGTATATTTTCACCCCTTATATCTAAGAGGTCTTAGGTCTAGTATTTTATGTCTTCAGGTAAATGCCACGATGGTGGATTTGTTGGGACTTATGTTTAGCCCTTCTCTATCCACTCATTTTGTTGTTCGGTTTGGAGCGTTTTGCATTCGCTCCCTAGCTGTAGAGTTGAATTTGCCCCGTGAGATGATGACTATGTCGTCAGCATATCCGAGGGCACAGTGTCTTTCGTCAGTGAGCACCTTAAGCAGGCCGTCCGCCACTAGATTACTAGATTCCACAGGAGTGTGGATAATACCCCGCCCTGTGGGTATCCCATGTACGCCCTGGCCGCCAGTGTTTCCTCTGCGATGGTGGTTTCTACCATTCTTTCTCTGAGCATGGAGTTGATCCACACACAGCAGGTGTCCTCAACTCCTTTGTACTTAGGAGATCTAGTTATTGAATCGAAGGAAGTGTTTTCAAAAGCTCCCTCTATATCCAAGAAGGAATCCAGGATCAGCTCTTTGTTTGCCAGTGTGGTCTGGGTGTAGTGGTCTGTTTGCCAAAACACCGTCCCTAATCTGCCTATCCTCAAGTTTTTCCAGTATCCTAAGCTCAAATGATGAAAGACTAATAAATGGGTCTTAAGGACTTCGCCGTGTCCTGTCCTATTTTTCAGGTTTTGGTATGAACGATAGCCTAATGCGCCTCCAGGCCAAAGGCTAGGCTACTTCTTAGAATGTTACAGAGTATCCTGTTTGGAAGTTCAGTTCTGCTCTGTAACATTATGGGATAGATCCCATATGTTGACTTTTTCATAGTTGACTACTTTCTCCGAGGTCAGTCAGTCGTTCCTGGATGCTCTTCGAAGTCTAGGCACATTGAGTCTGATCAACTATCTTTTAGCGGGGAAAGTGGGTTCTTATTAGGATTTCCTTAGCTGTCTCTTCCCCCGTCTTTGTGTATTCACCAAGGTTGTTTTAGACTAATTTGATTGCTGTCTTCGGGCCCTTTGACAGAGTTTTTTGTAGTCTAGCACAATCTTAAGTACTTTCTATATCCTCACAGTACTTCCTCCAAGATCTTCTCTGGGATCCCCTCAACTCTTTCTTGAACTTTTTCAACATGGTTTTGTATGTTTTCCACTGCCCGGTTCTCATGACTTTATTGAATTCTGTTCTAGTTTCTTTCCTTAACTTTGCAAGGCTCTCGTTCCACTTTTCTGGTGGATATCCCTGTTGTAAGTGAGCAATTTTAATTGAAGGCTGAGATGATTGCATCATTGAATTATTGCACAACAATCTCCAAGTCTTCAGTGTCTCTTAATACCTTCCTGATGTTTGGCAGACTGTACTCCAGGTCAGCTTTGTATGCGTTCCAGTCTGTATTTCGAGGGTTTCGATAATTTACGGAAGTTTTTTCCCCTGAAATTTCAAATTTGATCTATCTGTGATCCTCATCAGATACATGCCAGTTTGTGACGTAATTACTCATATGATTTGAGGCACAAAGGTAGGTTTATTTCCTACATTTACTATACCTATCTAAATTGTCTGCTATAATATCCTGTAGTAATGACTCACCTCTATCGTTGATCTTTGTACTTCCCCAGACTGTGTGGTGAGCATTTGCATCACACCCGATGAGCAGCTGTTTCCCATTTGTCCTACAGTGTCTCACCAGCTCCTCCACACTTCTGGTTGGTGTTGATTCAGGGTCATCGTGGGATAAGATTGCATACACACAGATTATCCAAAGTTCTAGGTACATATAAGTACATAATCTATGATATGATATCTCTACCATTTCTCTTGTTATCTTCATTCCAGAACTTCTAATGAAAAACTCAGCCATTTGAAAAACGGGAAAACAGATAAGACGATTGTTATCCATCGTCGCTGCATCCCGGAATCCAATTGAAACTAAAAATAAGCAATAAAATACCGCTGATCGTAAATCCGCGCTGTTCCCATCCACAAATCAATCGGTCTAGACGAACAAAATTTATTAAGAGCGACAAACGTCAATATTGCTATTCTGTATTCCTGGATGGTGTTGAAGCTGCATGTGGCGCTGTTGAATAAATAATAAATCCGTTTGAAATAACAACGAAAATACGTCCCGGGAGAGTTTTGTTAGTCAATAGCAGAATATCTACGTGGCAATAATTTATTGAAATTAATTTGAATTGACTTTTCAGCATTGAAGATGAAACGTGGTAATCAGCAGGCTTCTAATCAAAAGCTTGATGAATAATTATGAGCAAGATATTGAATCAAGAGCCAAGTTATCAAGTCAAAAAATGTGTTTCTTCTATTGGTTACACTCAGAGAAATTTTCGCTATCACAACCAGAAATATGTATAATGCAACAATACAATACAGTTGATATAGGCACAACCACACATATAGTTAAATGTATCATAAATATATTGTTAATTGTTATTGTTCCTTCACAAATATTATATTGCTTGTCCTACCAAAGCTGTATGTTTC